AAAAATACCACAATACTACAACTGACCCGAATGTGAATAACAGGAAATGGATGGAGATTCATCATCCTCACCGGATCTCGAATCGATTGTATGCTCGATCACACGAAGTTGTGAGCGTCATACGATTTCGAGATCGTGAGGGCGAGCGCTGAAGATAAGTCTGCACGCACGCACTGCACTGGAGTCTCCCCCCTCTCGAAGGGATGGCAATATTATGTCTCCGTGTTCCAACTTCTTGCCCCTCCCACCACACCCGGTGGGGACTCCGATTCGAGTGTCGAGGTCTGATGAGGCTGATGGCCCTCCTCATTTCCAACACTCTGGAGAGGAATAGTAGACTTCGCCCACGAACATCACCAACGTATCAAATCAACAACTCTGGTGATATTGTGACCTTGCGACAGGTAGACCCTAAATGCAGAGATGTCAATAGCCTTTACTATAAGCAAGGGTTTCCACAAAGAGCCGTAGGTTTCGCAATTGCCACTTTTCGCCAACTTTGTGATCCCTCTTCATACTTAAGCATCAAAAATGTGTCGAACAAGGGCCGACTGAGAGTTTTGGAGTGTTACCCTTTCCATCGGTCGTTGGTCATGTGCACCCAAACCTAGAGTTTTCTCTCCGGTCCACTGAGACTACAGAGAGCACTGATGTCAGACTCGCTATGATCCGCGATAGTTAACGCGTTCATGTATTCACTCACACAAGAGTCTTGTAACAAGAACACTCAAGCAAACTCACAACCAAAGGCTTTCTCCGTCACAGAAATGTTCATATGATAGCAAATGAGATTCCACGTTACAATGGTGGTACCCACAATGGTCTCGCACAGAAGAAGTTGTGTGGAAAGATCAAATGATAATACGCCTTCAGCCAGTCATCCACAAAACCACGTCCACGCGGGAAGTTGCGTACCATCGCATATTATTATCGTGGCGTACCTAGTAAGGCCTCATGCACCTGGCGGTTGTGTGGTCTCAGCAGAGGCAGCATCATCAACGGTATCAGGCTCGCACAAGTACAGGTGACGATAGATAGAGAGATGTTGTGGTACTCATTATCTTCACCGGGGTTGCCGCATAGTTTCAACACAAGTATCGAGCAGTACGCTGAGAAATACCCCCCTAGTGAATTGAATGCCATGAGTGCGGCAAACATGAAGGCCTCAGCGTCGCGAGCTCTACTCGCTGTTACTCCCGCGAGAACCAATACTGGCATTAACGCGATTGAGTTACACGTCGCTACGATGACAATGTCAACCGCAACGAAAACACCATCTGGAATCGCTAGTGCTCTGTTCACATGCCAGATCACGCCAACGCGCGTCAGACCAGCACATGCGGCTATGAATGTAGACGCGATGAAGACTTTCCGTAACGGGTAATCTCGTAAGAGCCACCAGTAGAGGCTTGTGCCAAGAAGACTCCCGATAGTGTAGTTCATATTTAGAAAGTTGAGCACGGTCTGATTATACGAAAATGCGGTATACAAGTAGCTGGTATACACATCGTTCGTATTTGGCATCATCGCGAAAATGAAAATAAAACAACATGGTTTTACTAACGGTCTCAAAATATCGACGATTTCCGAAGCATGGAAAGCACAGCAATGAGGGGCACTCTCGAAAGTTATTTCTTCATTTGTTTCCACGTCGTTTCTGTGAACAACGACCACCAACGCCGAGCACAGCGGGATGACGCTAGTAATAGCGATAACCGTACGATGGTCCAACAGGGCTCCAAGACCAGAAGCGACGAAACTGATGAGGAAACTGCCAAGTGTCCGACAGAGCATTCCGGCACTCTGAATGTCCGAGGCGGCTTTCGAGTAATTCTCTTCCTCCTCTGTGGCGGATCGAGTCATTTCTCTAGCGATTACTCGAGACCTTTGGACGGCCACAGCGTCCAGACAAGATTCGGAAAAGGCAAATACAACGTTGATTAAAGTCGTGACTAGATAGGCGCGTGGTAGCGTCACCACCCAGATTGCATAAGTCACGTATAAGGAAGCCATAGCAATATAGCAAGCAATCATATAGGCGATTCTACGTGTGCCACAGATGGGGAAATTGTCAGATATAAAACCATAGAAAAATCGGAGGTAAAATGGGATGAACGTATTAGCATAAAAAAGTGCCAAAGCAATGTTATCACTGGCAAGACCAAGATCATCTCGCAGTAGAATTCCTATTGCCACCATCGGGAGAGCTTGAGTAAAGGAGGAAAGGACGTACAGAGACATCAGAGCTCGTTGATTGGATATCACCAACCATCGATCACATATACCCGACAAAAGTAGTGACATTAATGGTCATTAACAACTCTGGAGAATTCGATACCACTAAAATGTTCGTCACTGTAGTAAAGCGGAGAAATATATATTTGCTTTTCTCACCTGAGTTTAAGAGTTCCTTCATAATAGGAGTATTTACGAACTCAGGTAGAAATACACAGAAAACAACAACAATAATTTCCTCAGAATTTCCTCATTGCCACAAACACATGTAGTTGACCATTTGCATATTTTTTACAAGTTTTTTCTCATATTTTCTAGTAAGAATGTTTCCAGTAGACGCCAGTTTGTGAAGGTATATACAAGGCCAACTCCGGGGAATTCTTGTTGGTTTCTTTACACTTCTACCCGAATTCGTATATTAGTCCTGAACTCAGCTGAGGAGAGCAAACATATATTCCTCCTGTTACGGCAGCGACGATCAAAGGCAACGAAAGAGGCCTTCAGCCAAGGATGAGTGTCAGAAATCAGACGACGCCCTGGAGTCGTTTCGAATATGTGGTCACTCGGTAGTGGAGTTTCACCACCCTAGTGATGTGGAAAACACTGGTGACACATATTTCACGACTACTGCATATCATCGCGAGTTTCGCGGTTTTACCGAGTCACGTAAAACAGGTGAAACTCCAGTGAGCTGTCGCAAATCAACTTCGCGAATAGCCTCCAATGGACGTCGTTATATACTCCTAATAAGAAGTTGAGTTTCCGATTTTCAAACTATCACCCTGCCATAACCACATTGATAACAAACGTAACACCACCCAACAGCTACTAGAAACTACTCATGAAAAATTCATTTTTTTCATACGCCCGAGCCCAGTTTTTTCGCTTCAATTTTCAGCGTCTTCAACTGCTTTTTCTGCGCATCATTCAAATGTGATTTTTGCGCAGAATTCATCCTAGCGCCTTTGACGATTTCTTGATTAGATATAATCGAGTGATAATTCTCCCATTGCGTAACGAACTGTTTCAACTGGAGGACAGTACACGCTTGTGGTTTCTGAAAATAACGAAGTCTCACCCTAGTGATACGATGAAAAACACTAGTGAAAAAATATTTCACGACTACTGCATATCGCCGCGAATATCGCGTTTTTCACGCCACTTCACGTAAAACGGGTCATGAAACTCCAATATATTTTTGGAAACTCCCGAGGTGAGGAAAGCAAATATATATTCCTACTCCAACACTGACTAGGAATGGGAAAATATGCACATGGTCAACCGCATGTGTTGGTGATAATATTAAAAATTCTGAGGAAACTTCGGAAAATTCTGAACACTTCTTCCCGAATTCGTATATAAACTTTTATAATCAATTTGGAAAAGCTTCAACTCAGCTGAGGAAAGCAAACATAAATATTTCCTATACACTTGTTATAATATGAACTTCGTTATTTCATTTCCCATCAGGTTCCCTTGGAGGCTCTCAATCAACGACGAACATCTGTAGGGTGTGGCGCAGTCGAGCAGGCTGCGGTTGCTAGTACGGCGCTGATTGCCGCGAGGACCTGGGAGGCTGGGGAGAATGATAAGAGAATTTCTTGGCAATGGTGATAGTGGGAAAAATACGATCGGAAAAATTCAGAAATTATCAATGATGATAGTGATATGATGTTTCACGACTACTGCGAATATCGGGTTTTTCACGGAGTATTACGCCACTTCGCGTAAAACGGGTCGTGAAACTTTATTATTGTATTATCAGCGTAGTCGGCCATATGCATATTTTCTTTATACACTTTATATAACCATTTCCACGATTTGAATCTGTGATGGTAACTGTCTATCCTTGTGTGGTTT